TCAGATGCAAATCCACTAATGGATGTTAGCGATCACATTTTCCATTAATTCTCTATTTCTTGCAATATGTATCAGAGATTGTATGTCGTTAATCCCTGTCCATTGCCTTATGTTTCGGAGCCAGGACATTTTCTTGCGTCCCATTCCTCTCTTGCCTTCAATTTTACCCTCGATTATAAGTTGGAGGAACTGGTATTTTTCATTTCTGTCTCTCTAAAGGATTTAATTCTTGTATTTTCTGTATTTTCTATTACTCCTCCCATCGTCTTAATTTTTCTGTATTTTTTCTGAAAAAATAGTATTTTTTCTTTCATTCCCTGTTTTTTAGCCTCTGATCCATATTGTATCAAATTTTCTTGAGCTGCTTTCAGTAATTTGTCTTTTATATTATACCACTTTTTATTCACATCCATAATTTGTTTGTTGTCAGTTAGTGTGTTTTACATATTAACATTCACACTATTTTTTAATTCGTTTTTTATTTCTTCGTGTTTTAGCGTTCTTACATTAATTTTTGGTTGTTGTTTTCTGAGTTCAATTCTTTTTAATTTTATTTTTACGTATTGTGCTTTGAGTTAACATCTGCTTCAAGATAAGTTTTAACTGAGGTTATAGAGTTTTTATATCTGCTATTTACGAGTATACAGTCTATTTGGTTTCTGACAATGTGGTCTTCTGACAATGTGGCTCTGTATGTGAAGCAGACGTCTATGTATATAGTCTTCTCTTAGGAAGCTGAAACCAAGTATTGGCAATTACCATATTCTTTTCATGGTAGAATTTTATGAGCCTTTCTTATTTCTCGTTCTCATCCGAACTGTCCAACTATATTTTCAACTGTACCTACTCCAATTTTTGCATTAAAGTCTCTTAAAATGTAAGTAATATCTCTAGATTTTGTTAACTTGATTGTAATAAAACTTTTCGATCTCATCTTCTGTCTTATCAGCTGTGGGAGCATAGACTTGGATCATATTAATATTACAGTTCCGTACTTGAATTTTTAGCATTATTATTATGTCTGAGATTTGAATCACACCTAGCACTGATTTTCTAATAGTGTTGCTTATGATGAAAGCTACTCCGTATCGATGATCAGTGTTGTTTCCTCCAGTGTAACAAAAGTTGTGGTTATTTATTGATATCTCTCAATTTCCTGACCATTGCACATCGCTAACCCCAAGTATATCATTTAGCCTCTTTTTCTCTTTAATAACATTATGTAGTTTTTCAGGCTGATACATACTTCTTACATTCCAGGTTATCTGAAAGGGTTGAGTATTTTTTTTTTGTTTTTTTTTGTGCAAGTTTCGCATGTTGACGACCGAGGAGGCCTTGCGGTTTGATGGTTGTCCTCCCCTGACGAATTTTGGTCTCCGATTACCATAATCAATAATGTCCCTTATGCAAATAGTGCTAGCGACTATAATTTATACTAAAGGTGTCATTGTCAGCACCTACAAATACATAATATCTGTATTTCTTTAAAAAAATTAAACAAATTGCTTTGTTGATCTATACAATAAAAATAATGTTAAAACATATACTAAAACGATAACATGCTTAAAATAATACGATAGGTAAAATCAGATTGTGACATTCTAACCTGCATATCTAAAACGGTTACAAAAGATATTGTTATTATCGATTAGTCGATAGTAGATCATAATAGCAAAACCACATAATTAATATATAGGCCTACAGCACTGTTTGCATTACAAGTAGCAAGTAGCTATCTGTTTATTTATACACTTTTTGTTATTTTCATACCACTATGAATAAATTACATGCGTTGATTTTCTTCGATCTACTTACACACATTCTTTGGCTAATTGTTGATTGCGGCACATATAGGCGACTGCAAGAATATGGTACTAAATCGGTAGTTCTAACATTTTAGTCTTTATGAGTTCGGTACGAGGATTGCTCCATAATTACGCGGCACAATAAAGGAAACTCCATTTATAAATATATGTCTCCCACAGGTTTTTTTAGACAAGTGACTTTTTAACTTAGAAAAAATGGGCAAAGAATCGACTTGTTCGTTTATCGAAAGTCCGTTTATTAATAGGAAAGTGAACACATACAATTTTTCCTCTAAAATTGTGCACTTGAAAGTCGAAAGGCCAACTTGGCATTATGTTTTATAAAACATTTTTCTAGGAAAATTTTAAAACTGTCAATTTTAAAAGGAAAATAAGAGATTTTCTCGATGGTCTCTTACCAAAGATATCGGACCAAATAAATAATGAAACATCAATTGCAATTAAGGGGGCCGTAAGTCGTAAAAAAGTTTAAGTGCAGTTTTGATAGTTCTGAGATAATCAGCGTCAAATTTGTTTGAGTTTTATAAATTCTAGGAATGATTAAACTAAAATATGTCTATTGTACAATGTTCTATAAAATGATAAAAATATAAGGGTATATTATTACTTTTACTACATACTTTCTTTTTTCATTTATTAAAAAAATGTACTTGAATCGGGACATGATGTTAATAAATGTTACTGGTAAAACGGTTCAAGTGCAGATATTAGGTATTACTAATCACTTTTTATAGTGTATTTTTATGTATGAGAGAGTAATAAAACAATAAATTATGTATGCAAATCCCTAAACTGTTGATACGGGTGACTCAATGAAAAACAGATATTTGTCAACAAGTTTACAGAAGTATATAGGAAAACAATTTTAAATTGAGTATGACCACCAGGTATAAAGGTTGGAGCAGAATAGAATACAATAGTTGTGAGGGTTACTAATCCCTAAATAAGGTTGCCAGTGTCGGAGTCATGGAGGTTAACAGGTACTAATGAATTTGCAAGAAATGTAAGATGTTTATTTTATTGGTTATATATAACCAATATTTGTTGATGAGACCGTTGAGTTAGTTAGCAGTACACTTGGTGTTGGGAAATCTACGATTTACAGAGTTATTAAAGAAGAGAAATGTGGTAGTTTTCAAATGCCACGTAATGCTCCAGGGAAACCAAAATTTCAAATAGAATATCATTTTAAAGAAGGACTTCGACGGAAAGTGCATGAATTCTTCTTTAGACAACATTGGATAAAGTTCTTGTCTAACATTGGATAAAGTTCTTGTCTCAGTTCGAGATGATAAGGATTACCCAGAAATGAGTCGAAGTACGTTATGGAAACTTTTAAAAGAAATAGGCTTCCGCTGGAAAAAGAATCCCAGAATGTCTATTTTATTAGAAAGAAGCGATATTGTCGTATGGAGAAGACATTTTCTAAGAACCATAAAGGAAATGAGAAACCAAAAAAGAAAAATATTTTATCTTGATGAAACATGGATCAACGAGAGTACATACACCATACACCAAATAAATTTTGGCAGGATGAAACTGTTACAAGTCAAAGGCACGCTTTTGTAAATAACTTATCTACTGGTTTAAACCCACCATCAGGAAAGGGACGCGGGCTGATAATAATACACATTGGCAGTTCAGACGGTTTTGTTGAAGGTGGTTTATTAACTTTTGAATCAACTCGTACCGGTGACTACCATGAAGACATGAACGCTGATGTCTTTCAAGAATGGTTCGAACAAATGATAGATCTTCTTCCTAAGAACTGTGTAATAGTAATGGATAATGCAAGTTATCACTCCAGACTTATAGAAGGACTGCCCACAACCAAGTGGTTAAAAAAAGACTTGCAGAATTGGCTGAGTTCAAAAAATATTACGTACCATCCCGCATCTTTAAGAAAGGAACTTTATTCGTTGTGTGCCCTTCATAAAGAAAAATTAAAAAAATACGAAATTGATGAAATTGCCAAAAATCGTGGAATGACAGTACTTAGATCCCCACCATATCATTGTGAATTAAACCCGATTAAACTGGTATGGGCAGAGATAAAGAGTGAAGTTTCAAGAAAAAATACCACTTTTAAAATTCATGATGTTAAACAGTTGTTTTTGGAGGCCGTAAATAATGTAAAACCTGAAAACTGGGAAAAGGCAGTAAATTACACTATTAAAGAAGAGGAAAAAATGTAGAAGCTGGACAATATTACTGATAAAATGATCGAGCCAGTTATTATAAATCTTGGTTTTGAAAGTTCATCTTCTGAATCTGATTTGGATTTGTAACAAGTAGCTGTAAGTTTTATATTAATATTTTTATTCATCTATTTAACATACCTTAGATGGTTTTAAAAACTCTTTTTCTCTTTTGTAATTTTTAAAAATTAAAAAAAATGTGAATTTTTTAAAACCCTTTTTAATGTAGGCCAGTCAGTTCTAATAAAGTGTGTGATAAAAGAGGTCACTTTTGTTTACATACACATAACACTTTATAACACTGAAATAATTCATTTATTTTTTACAATTATTCAAAGTAATTTTTCAATTAATCTTGAGCACGCCCATGGAGTGGTCGAATGTACCAGTTAAAATTATGCTAATTACTCTCTCGTTCATAAAAATAAACTATAGTTATTTAACTAAACTTTATTTTGTAAACTTCTAAGTACCTACAATATCATTCGTAATCCGACTCTAAGAAAATATCTTCTTCGCCATCATTCCCGTCTGCGTCGTCTCTGCTGGCAGCTGATTTTGCTAATTCCAATTTTGCTTCTGCCGTTGATGTTCCAGTATGATTCAAATTTCGAAAACTCAATATCCTGGTTTAAAGTATGCTTGTACCCAAAAGCCAGATTTTCTGTCTTAAAATATGCCAACCAGGAAATACTGCGCCATTATATTCTCTGACCAATGGAATCCTTTTTAGGATATTTTAATTATTTCACGTATTATTAAAAACAATTAAAAATCTGCTGTCGTCATATCATGTTGTAAACCACAAACAATAACCGATTTGTAGCAGTTGGTTCCCTTTTGGAGTTGACCTGTAATTATAACCACCCGATTAAAGTAGGGAAAATCTTTGGATTTAATTGTAGTATTTACAGTGTCCTGGATTTCGGGAATAGCTTTCTGTAGCATACTAAAAATGTTATAAATCTTATAGCGGTCAACTATTATCATGCTTTTGTGTGACTTTAATGCAGATTTTCATTTCTCTATGCTGAAGTTCAGGATTCAAATTATCCGCTACGAACCCGTCTCTAATACAAGCAAAATTAGCAAGAATACCTTCAATAGAATTGTGAATTATTAATGCAATTCTGTCGTTTGGTTCCAAACCGAGTTCTATTAAACCTGCTGCAAGAATGTCGGTGTCAGTCATGGTTTTATGATAAGTCCTATTTGGCTTTTGTTCTTTGGAAATGATATACATGTTATATTTAAACTTGTTCCAAACCATCTTCTATTAGCTGAATAAGAGTTGAATTACTTAAAAGGTGTATCGCAGTGGCTTCGAATAAGGCTGAGTTCAGGTTCCATACTATCTATCGATGTGCTTCGTATAAGAGTTTTCAGCTGGTAATAGACACTTTACCTCAAAGGCACACCGAACACCGAGCATACATAAAAAATCAGACTTTAGTGTTAATTGAGAGTAAACTAAATGTAAGACCAAATACTTACCATCGTGGGATAGTATCATAAGGTTTTTTTCCTGGCTTTTCCTCATGATTTACTATGAAACAATAATAGTAGAATTTTACTGTCATCATTGCATGTGGTTGTCTCTTTAAAGATAAATTACATCCTATGATTTTGCTGACGTATATTCTCAAGTTAAAGTCGATTTCATGTAGTCGAATGAACTATATTTCAATAAAGTCGTCTCAGAAACGCAATTTAATAATATTGACAGTATCATTTAAAGTCATCTACTTTAAAATGCATAATGTATTTTTACCAAATAACAAAAACAAAATTTGTTATCTGAAAACCAACTTAAAATCTTTGTTAAGCACTTTAATTATTGGACAACCCTCATAATATAGTGCTACACTAGAAAAAACAAATAAAATACCAACTGATAGAATTATTGCAATACTAACTGGGTTAATAAAATAATTACAGCTCTTCTATCAGTATATAAATGAAACAAAATTAGAAATTATGTACGATCCATTCGCAAATTGTGCAAATACACAAAGCAGCTCTACTATTCATTCAAACCACTCGATTTAAATCCAAACGTGTTAACTTCCTTTTAATTAATATGTATGGACAATGTGGTAAAAGTAAATTGTGCACAAAATACAAGATGATGTGGTTTTTTCACGAACGTAGAAAGTGAAGCGAATTTTTTAGGCTAATCGGCCAGCTGTTTAATATCAGTATGATAATTCGGTGGGATATTTACTGCATCGGCAAAAATCTTAAAAATGTGAATGAAAAGCTTCATAAAATTAACGAAATGTGTGCATATCATTTTAAAATGTGGGTTATATGTTGAGGAATGAAGTAAAGTAATATCGTTCTGAAAAAATGTAGTGTGCAGCATACGGGTGGTATTTATTTTTAACCCATCAAAACCTGAATTAACTTTTTTGTTAAATTGGTGGTTTTTTACCAAGTTTATAGTTTATTTTTATGAACGAGAGAGTAATTAGCATAATTTTAACTGGTATCTCCGACCATTCCATGGTCGTGCTCAAGATTAATTGAAAAATTACTTTGAATAATTGTAAAAAATTAATGAATTATTTCAGTGTTATAAAGTGTTATGTGTATGTAAACAAAAGTGACATCTTTTATCACACACTATATTAGAACTGACTGGCCTACATTAAAAAGGGTTTTAAAAAATTCACATTTTTTTTTAATTTTTAAAAATTACAAAAGAGAAAAAGAGTTTTTAAAACCGTCTAAGGTATGTTAAATAGATGAATAAAAAAAATAATATAAAACTTACAGCTACTTGTTACAAATCCAAATCAGATTCAGAAGATGAACTTTCAGAACCAAGATTTATAATAACTGGCTCGATCATTTTATCAGTAATATTGTCCAGCTTCCACATTTTTTCCTCTTCTTTAATAGTGTGATTTACTGCCTTTTCCCAGTTTTCAGGTTTTACATTATTTACGGCCTCCACAAACAACTGTTTAACATCATGAATTTTAAAAGTGGTATTTTTTCTTGAAACTTCACTCTTTATCTGTGCCCATACCAGTTCAATCGGGTTTAATTCACAATGATATGGTGGGGATCTAAGTACTGTCATTCCACGATTTTTGGCAATTTCATCAATTTCGTATTTTTTAAATTTTTCTTTATGAAGGGCACACAACGAATAAAGTTTCTTTCTTATAGATCCGGGATGGTACGTAATATTTTTTGAACTCAGCCAATTATGCAAGTCTTTTTTTAACCACTTGGTTGTGGGCAGTCGTTCTATAAGTCTGGAGTGATAACTTGCATTATCCATTACTATTACACAGTTCTTAGGAAGAAGATCTATCATTTGTTCGAACCATTCTTGAAAGACATCAGCGTTCATGTCTTCATGGTAGTCACCGGTACGAGTTGATTCAAAAGTTAATAAACCACCTTAAACAAAACCGTCTGAACTGCCAATGTGTACTATTATCAGCCTGCGTCCCTTTTATGATGGTGGGTTTAAACCAGTAGATAAGTTATTTACAAAAGCGTGCCTTTGACTTGTAACAGTTTCATCCTGCCAAAATTTATTTGGTGTATGACCCTCGTTGATCCATGTTTCATCAAGATAAAATATTTTTCTTTTTTGGTTTCTCATTTCCTTTATGGTTCTTAGAAAATGTCTTCTCCATATGACAATATCGCTTCTTTCTAATAAAATAGACTTTCTGGGATTCTTTTTCCAGCGGAAGCCTATTTCTTTTAAAAGATTCCATAACGTACTTCGACTCATTTCTGGGTAATCCTTATCATCTCGAACTGAGACAAGAACTTTATCCAATGTTGGAAATTCTTGTTTAAAGAAGAATTCATGCACTTTCCGTCGAAGTCCTTCTTTAAAATGATATTTTATTTGAAATTTTGGTTTCCCTGGAGCATTACGTGGCATTTGAAAACTACCACATTTCTCTTCTTTAATAACTCTGTAAATCGTAGATTTCCCAACACCAAGTGTACTGCTAACTAACTCAACGGTCTCATCAATACTTTCACATAAACGTTTGTCTGTAAATGATTTAAAACAATTAAATATTAATGTTTTTTCATTAACTGTTAAAGGACCAATTTTTCGGCGTTTACACGGCACTTCCAAATTTTCCATAACACTAGTATACACAATAAACTGCACCTTGCAACTGAAATACCTACTTTTAGTGAACTGTTAAGAATTTTGAATACGCCACTTGGACCTTCCTACAAAATGGAAAAACCCACTATCACATTTTCTGTGGAATAAGTTTAGAAGGTAATTATCTAGTCAATTACTGACGTAGATTCCTGGAATTAAAGAATTAAATGTTTGATTGTTGAAACCCTTACTTCGTGGAATGCACTCATTTCAGATAAAATAAAACGTTTTAGTTTATCTATAGAATTAAACTTTATTTTGCAAATAGGTAGGTACCTACTTATTAAACTTTTATTGGTTATATATAACCAATAAAATAAACATCTTACATTTCTTGCAAATTCATTAGTACCTGTTAACCTCCATCACTCCGACACTGGCAACCTTATTTAGGGATTAGTAACCCTCACAACTATTGTATTCTATTCTGCTCCAACCTTTATACCTGGTGGTCATACTCAATTTAAAATTGTTTTCCTATATACTTCTGTAAACTTGTTGACAAATATCTGTTTTTTATTGAGTCACCCGTATCAACAGATTAGTGATTTGCATACATAATTTATTGTTTTATTACTCTCTCATACATAAAAATACACTATAGTTTAAGAAAAATACAATTAAGCAAAAAAACCTATTACATTTTATTTGTGTATCGAATATATGACATTACAAACTGTGACCATAATAATATGGTGACATTAGGTCAAAATACTATAAAAATATTATAAGATTTACTCTTATGAAATATGGCAAAGCATTGAATGCAGAGTCCTTGTTAAGTTGAGTAATTCATTGAGTATCTTGTTAAATCCTTATCCAGTTTCCTTCCATAAACTTGTTATACATTCCAATAACATGTGGGCGAGGAACTTGGACAACTTTTGTTTCAGAATGTAAATAACTGTTTACTTGTTGTATAAAATGCACACCATATGAAGTTGATGCCATTATTGCGACGACGTTATCCATCCATCTTGTCAACATAATACCATCGTCAATTTTTAAAACCAAATAACCTCGAGTTTGTTTGGACATAGTTTTTTTTATCGACCAGTGGAACATCTTGTGGTACTCTGTAGAGGTGTGCTTATTAGTTCTTTTAGACGAACTAGTTCAAGAGAACTATTTCACAAAATGAACTAGTTCAATGAACTAGTTCAGTGAACTAGTTCGCGAAAGAACTATTTGTAGGACCGAAATCGAAATCCAACCCTAACATAACTGGTTGCCAGATGTCTCATCTCAATCACAAACTCGTTTTCTTCGGTTTTCAGTGTACGGCGTTCAAGTAGCTCGGATTCGGAACCATTTCTTTCGATCGTATTATGTTTAGGTTTAAATGTTTTAAATTATTATATGATTAGTTATTTTTTCTTTATAATAATTTATTTTCTTAATCAATCCCAAAAGATGAGTAACAGACGAAATAGAAGTTTTTTATGTGATCAGTTAGAGAAAAACGATAAAAATCAAAAATCTGCAAAATGTAATTACTGTTCATGTGATATTAGTATTACAAGTGGTTCACTGGGCAATTTATCAAGACATTTAAGAATGAAACACTCTGCTATCAATCATATCAAATTCAAGAACCTCAACCTTCAACGTCAAAATCAGTTTCGCTATAGTAGAACAAGCAGGGGAAGATGAAAAGAAAGCAGTTATAATTCTTAAGAAAAAGTCTGCTCCTACTCCCCTTGTTTCTATCAAGGACTATGTAATTCGACCCATTCCATTCGAAATATAATTCATTCATTATTTTTTAATTTAGAAGTTGAGACACATTTATAATGCAAATAGTTCGCAGTGAACTAGTTCTATGAAAATTGATGAACTAGTTCAATTAGTTCAGTTGAAAGAATCGTTCATTTGAACTATTTCGATGGTGAACTACACATCTCTAGTACTCTGTTCTAGAAAGCACGTGGTGTTCGTGTGTATCAAGGTATAAAAAAATGCTTATTAAAAGCTTAAACTTTTCGTAAGTTAAAGTTCCATCATCAGTTTACTAAAAGAGAGAGTAAAAAACCGATATT